TCATCCACATCTTACAGCATTAAAAGCCAGCTAGGCCAGTGAGACTGGGCATCCATGGAGTTAGACTCAACAGCCTTGAATATTGTCAGTGGCTCAATTTTTGTAATTTAATGATATTAAAATACCTTAATCCTTGTATGGACTGTAAAGCATATTATGATTTTTAACAAGGTTTTCCAAAGGAAAAAAACTGGTTATTAGATTGAGGTATGTCAGCGGGCGGGCGGGTGGGCGGGCGGACATAAACAATTTCTTCTGTGCTCAACTCCTTCTACATTTGTCAACGGATTTTGACCAAACTGTCACAAAAGCTTTGTCATCAAGTGCCCTGGCGCATATTGTCAGGGTTTTGCGATTGGATAATATTTGACCTAATTATGGCTCTTTGTTTTTTTTCCTTATATAGAATATATAGTGAACAATTTCTTCTGTGCACAACTCCTTCCACATTTCTCAACGGTTTTTGACCAAACTTTCACAGAAGCTTTGTCGTCAATTGCCCTGGGGCATATTGTTGTGGTTTTGCGATTGGATAATATTTGACTTAATTATGGCCCTTTGTTTTTTTTCCTTATATAGTGAACAATTTCTTCTGTGCACAGCTCCTCCTACATTTCTCAACGGATTTTGACCAAACTTTCACAGAAGCTTTGTCATCAAGTGCCCTGGGGCATATTGTTGGGGTTTTGCGATTGGATGATATTTGACCTAATTATGGCCCTTTGGTTTTTTTTCTTATATAGAATATATAGTGAACAATTTCTTTTGTGCTGAACTCCTCCTACATTTTTCAACGGATTTTGACCAAACTTTCACGGAAGCTTTGTCATCAAGTGCCCTGGTGCATACTGTCGGGGTTTTATGATTGGATAATATTTGACCTTATTATTGCCCTTTGTTTTTTTTCTGATATAGAATATATAGTGAACAATTTCTTTCGTGCGCAACTCCTCCTACATTTCTCAACGGATTTTGAGAAAAACTTTCACAAAAGCTTTGTTATCAAGTGCCCTGGGGCATATTGTCGGGGTTTTGTGATTGGATAATATTTGATCTAATTATGGCGCTTTGTTTTTTTTCCTTATACAGAATTATCAATATATAGTGAACAAATTCTTCTGTGCTGAACTCGTCCTACATTTCTCAACAGATTTTGTTCAAACTTTCACAGAAGCTGGTTTGTCATCAAGTGCCCTGGCGCATATTGTCAGGGTTTTGTGATTGGATAATTTTTGACCTAATTATGGCCCTTTGTTTTTTTTCCTTATACATAATATATAGTGAACACTTCTTCTGTGGCAATTTCTCCTACATTATTCATGTTTTACATTGCACATAGTTACATTGTTTGTTGCTTGTATTTGTTTTTCAAATACAACATATTTATCCATAATGGTGATAATTGAAAACCTCAGGTTTCGTGGCATTGCCATGTTTCTTGTTTATGTTTTTTTCTTCAGTTTGAATCAGTTTTGTACTTTTCAAACGACATCTCCTCTGAAACCATAAGGCAGATCATAATGAAACTTCACAGGGATGTTCCTTGTGTGAAGCCTTAACAAAAGTGTTCAAAGAATTCCATTCCATGCAGAACTCTGGTTGCCATGGCAACCAAAAGAAAAAACTTTAAACATCTTCTTCTAAGAAACCCAAAGAGCTAGAGCTTAGATATTTGGCATGAAACATCTTCTAATGAGTGTCTACCAAGATTGTTCAAATAAAATCCCTGGCCCTGCCCCAGGTGTGTCATTGTTTTTAACTATATGTGTAAAGGAAAAAACTTGACCAGCTAGACCTTAGATGTTAAGCATGAAATATCTTCTAATGGGTGTCTACCAAGTTTGTTCAAATAAAAACCCTGGGGTTTAAACTGGCCCCGCTCCGGGGGCCTATATACAGGTGAGCGACTTCAGGGCCATCATGGCCCTCTTGTTTAAATATTTTGACAATGCCTGATACAACTGATATCTTAAACTTGTATCAGTTTAACATTAGTCATTATTATCAACTGTAATAAACAGCTGAAACTGTTTGAATTAATAGGCTTACCATTTTTACAGTGTTCAAAGTTTTTAACATCAGATTTTATTTTATAAAACCTTAATCACAATCAATAGTGTAAGCCATACACTAGTGTTTTTTTAAACATAATTATATTCTGGTTTCAGAATTTAGCAACGCAACTAATAACCAGGTAGATTTTTTGAGAATTATATTTTAGCAGGACTACTGTATGGAATTTATGTCTTAGTCCTTAGTCTTAAGAATTGTAAGAAAATGTGAAGTTGAATTTTAGTATTGTTGCATACTGAAGCATGGACAAAAACTTGCTAGTTTTAAAATTGATGTTTGTTGCTTTAAGCATTTAATTAATAAATTCACTTTCAAATCGGAATAGAATTTCAGGGAAAAATTTTTTATTGGCTTAACCATAAAAAAAAATCATAAATGGAAACTTTTTCAAGATTAAATTTTTTATGTTTTTTGATTTCTTAGACTTTTATACATTCTTTAAACAGCAAAAGTATAAATCTTTACAAATTCCCTCATTTCTTTTGATATACATTTATTTAACTTCAAAAGAAATGTAATATTTTCTTACTGTTCAAAGTATTAAAGTAATTGCATTTGTATACATGAAAGGAAAGCCTATGTAATATTTTCTTTCAAGTTGAATTAATAACTACATGTATTACATTGTATGCTTTATTTATTTGATGATTTGATAACTTTTATGTCTATTTTGTCATCAAATATAAACTTTAAAGTTTCTTATTTTACAAGTATCTGGATTTTATATTTTCATGCAAGTGTTTTTTTTTTGCAGTAACCGTAAATACTAATGTACTATTAATATTCTTACATGCTTAATATATACATTTGTAATTTTCGCTATGTTGAATCATGTGTGATAATGGCCAACTTTATTACTACAAGTTTTATATTTATATCAGTGTATATTACCAATGTAATGTAATTGATTATGTTAATTAATAGGCATGCACTTTATTTTATTGTAGCGATTCAAACTGTCACTGATTGATTTAACCTTGCACCTTTTGTACTTTGTGCATTTACTAACATTATAGTTTGTATGTGTGTAACACCATATTTTAACTCTGTGTTGTTGTCCTATGTTGTGTTTTATGTTGTTCTAATTTTGCAGCGTCTTTGAACAATAATGAAGAAGACTAGATTTGTGGTAATCATAGACAAAAATGATGTGTTCTTACTGGAAGAAATACATTAAATTTGGAGACAGTAAATATATATGGAATTTGTAAAATGGATTCACAGTAACTTTAAGACTTTTATTGCATAATGGCATTATTTCTTTTAAGAAACCATTATTTCATGTAATATTTTAAGCTATATATCTCTTAATGATAGATTATATATTATTGAAATCTTCTTAAATAATCTCTAAGGACTAGAAAAGTAGTTTGCGAAATGAACATTCTGATTTTACTCCTAATTTGCTAAGACATTACTTGTTCTTTTTTTCCTCTCTTTATCTTTATGAGGATTACATTTCTCATTGTTTTATCCTCACTATTGAAGCATTTATATTCTTTTCCAAATCTTTATATACCTTCTTTTAAGAAATTATTAGATTTTGTCCCATATTTTCTTTGGTCCTTGCAGTCCTAAAACATATTCTTTGTGGTCTTTGCTAACCTTAGCATATCTTTTGTGGTCTTTGCAGAACTACTTATTTTTTTATTTTTTTTTTTCAGACCTAAAACATATTCTCTTTGGTCTTTGCAGTCCTGAAACATGTTCTCTTTGATCTTTGCAGACCTAAATTCATTTCAACTTAAACCATCTGTTATCCTGACAACAATTACTTATTTCAAACTGAAACGTTCTATAATTCCTCTGACCAAAAAAAGAACCAACTTATTTCCAACTTAAACTTCCTATTCATCTGACAACAAAAAAGTTTTAATTATCCCCTTTTACTTATCTACAGCTCCATGTTGTCACCTTAGTGCAATAACTAGTTAACTCCTACTAAATTTATGAAGGACTTGACCTGTTACTACACTGTAAACTCTATTTCTGCCAACTAAAGCATCTGATTCTGACAAATATGTACCTATTACCTTTCTCTGTTGCTTGGCAAAAATCAGCAACTCTTTTTTGTGATCATGGTTACAATTATCATTGACTTCCAGTACAAGATTTATTAGACAAGGCTGAACAATTAATTCTCTTCATTTTTCTGTTACTGACATTTTAATTTCTTTTACTGTTGGTACATGCCTTACTGATTCAGGCTACCCAGAATTTATATATTACAGCCACTAATTCTCTGCTAATAATTGCAACATTCTTTCACAAAATCTTTATCTCTTTCTTCCTTTCCTGAATACAGCAATTTGCAAGTTACATTTTGTGTTCTTAGAAATTTACATCAAATCATCTCAATTATGTATCGATTTTCTCATTAGCTATCCATGTACCAATTTCAATAATTGAAATTTATTTAAAAGAAGATTGTATCATAATTGTGAAGGATTGTAACTTAAAATTTCATCATTTATCAGATATAATTCCTCTTTGCCAGATAAGGATAAATAATTAATAGCATTTAAATGCAGTCACTGTCTGATGGCGTAAAAAAAAATATCAGTTAGTTTAAAGAAACTCTTGAGCTCTCTTTACACTATTTTAGACTTTTGAATCAAGTTGTGAATTTTCTGTATGTTTTTTTTAATTTAGACTTGCATGTTATTTCATTTCAGGCTAATTTGTATAGTTAAATTATTACAAGATTTAATTAATTTTGTTCGTATTTTAATAATAGGTCTCTAGATATATTTAACAATTATTTCTAAGACAGCTCCATGAAGTTGATTGTACAATTATTTTTTCTATACTGTAAAGAAATATTACAGTTCGAAATAATTATTTTTATCTTAAACTAAAGTAGAACAGTTAATGAGTTTATTCACATATTTAATGATTCAATTTTTACCTGTCTATTTCATTTACAGCAGGAGAATGCGCACGGGAAAAATGGGCGGGCTGTTCGTTCTGCAGAAGGTACGAGAAAGGAGGGCAGCTCTGCATGCACGCTACAGTAACATACTTGAAGGGGGAAATTATTTTGATCTTCAGTACATTAAGGAAACAAAAATCTTTGACACATGGAAATTTGATATACACCGGAAAAAAAATGGCAATTCCATAATTGTGAGATTTTACCACCCTGAGAATCAGTGGAGTGACTTGTCATTGATAATATATTTATCTAGAATGATGTGTTTGAATAATAACCGCCCAGGATAATGTAAAGTTTTAAAATAAATTTAAAAGCATAAAAAAAACTGCGATTTGATCTTAAAAATGCAATTGTGATATTTCTTCTATTTTTTTTTGTGTTTTTCTCTTCAAATTTTCTAATTTGGTATTAAATATTCATAAAGTTCCTTTCATCAGATGTAATGGACGCTTTTTTATTTCACTTTTAGTGAATATTGTTAGAGGAAATGTTTGTACAAGGTCATATGACACCTCTCCTCATGTACACTAAATGTGTTACAAACTGATATACCAATATGCTGTTCTGATTATAGCAGTTTTAAAGCAGCACGCCTCCAGATTCTTGTTAATTTTCATGAAAAGTTTGGAAATGTATTTAAAAGTCAAATATTGTGAGTTGAACAAATAAAGTAATTAACATATTGCATTCGGCACTTACAATCCAAGAAAATTACCAAAAAGTCGTCAACATATGCAAAAATTATAGCCCTAACTGCGTTAAATGTAACGCAGAAGCAATATGGTAATATGATACTGCAAAATCAGTCTTAAACCACATAAAACATGAAAAATATAACTTGGTTCTTGAATGTTTTTACCTTTCTTAAAATTTTAGTACAGTTTTCTTAATATTGATTTTCTTGAAATATTTTGGCTCATCTGGAGGCCTGCAACTTTAAATGAAAATCTAGTATGACTGATGAATAGAAAAATAGTAAAAACCTGACTCAGATCTGAATTTAAAGTCTTACTGACATTAACCATTAAAAAGTCAATTTTTAAACATAAATACAAGAAAAGCTTTTTCAAAAAGGTCTCTAAAATTTACTTGAATAAAATATTGTCACACTTTTACAAAATTACAAAAAAAAACTTGTATATGAAAGGCCCATTATGTCTCAGAAATGCTTTTATTTTTATTTTTCAAAAGCTTTTTAAATTTAGTATTCTTCTTTAAGTAACCAAAAAGTTACTCATTGGCCAACTTAAATGTCTTTTTCTTCAGTTGCTTATTGGCCTTAAGTACAGTTATAGTGATTAAATATTTTATATGGAAGTCAAAATACTACTTTGTTTACACTTTGCTACTTTTAAGGCAAACTATTTCATATTCTTTGCTAGTTTCTTCTCAGGGAACAAGCAACTAACATTCTCTTTAACCAATATTTAAACATTATGAAATTCTTGTTTTCTTTTTCTAAAGAAGTAAAAAAATGTTTCTGAGGCATAATTTGCCTTTATCAAGAAAACATCATAAATACACATGTATATGATTTTGATTTGTGTTTATGTGTTCATGTCAATTAGTGTAAGGTGACCTTTAACAGCAAGTTTAAGTGTAAACTGATCTCTAACAACAAGATTTTTATAAACTCACTCAAAATAGATTCATAACAGAGGGTCATTATTTTTCTTGTCTTGTTATACATATATGTGTTTGCTGTTTATATTTTACACATATTTTTTTAGAATAGATGTAGCATATATCTATATCACTGAGGTATTCTGGTGACAAAAATGAGATTTCTCAGTGAGATTTCTAGTCAATGGGACTATGTTACAATATTTGTACTGTGAAGTAATGATAAATGATATTATTTATAATTTGTGTTTCTGTCTTGCCAGAAGGAAACAAGCAAATTATCCGTTACATTTTTGTCTCCTTTTGAGTATCAGAAATAAGATTTTGTTTCACATTTCATGGTATGTAAGAAGAAAACAATTTTAAAGGAGGTAAAAAAAATATATAACAACTTAAAATTTGGAATTTTTACATATATCAAATTGTAGTAAATTGACCTACATTTTAAATAGACACGTACTTTGTCTTTGCACTTTTAGATTGTATATAATTCATAGTATGAAGAGGACTTTGGAATAATATTTATATAGTAACTACAGATGTAAATTCCTTTTCATTTCAACTTTGGACAATTTTTTATTATAATGATAACGTTTTTGGCAAACCATGAGTCTCCACGAATAATATGAAAACTTGTACATTTATGCAGTAGTTGGACATTAACAAGAAAGAAAACAAAAGAATTTTTAACATCTCAGAAACATCTCAGAAGAAATGATGTAGAGACATCTGTTGATCTCTAAGACAATTAATTGTTTTCATAATTAATTAAAAAATCGCGATTATAAATTATAAATAGTGCATCAGCATCTTAGCCATTGATCTTTATTATCTGTATTGATACTGTATTATGAGACAAATTTTTTATTGTGTGTTTAAAGCATCATGAATATGTGATATGTGCAATGTGTTATTTTTAGCTCGACTTTTCTATGAAAAGGGGAGCTATCCTACTCGCCCCGGCGTCGGCGTCGGCGTCGGCGTTGGCGTCACACCTTGGTTAAGTTTTTCGTACCACCCCACTTTATTTCAGAAGTATTACAAGTATGGCTTTGAAACTTACCATACTTGTTCACCATCATAACCTCCATCTACAGACAAGAGTACATAACTCTGTCAAGGTTTTTGACAGAATTATGGCCCTTTTTTGACTTAGAAAGTGTATTGAGCTTGGTTAAGTTTTTTGTACCACCTCACTTTATTTCAAAACCATTGGAGGTATTGCTTTGAAACTGACCATACTTGTTTACCATCACGACCTTCATCAACAGACAAGAGGACATAACTCTGTCAAGGTTTTTGACAGAATTATGCCCCTTTTTGACTTAGAAAATACATTGAATATGGGTAAAATCCACTTATTGCCTTAACCCTTTGAGATATTGCTTTGAAACTTTTAATGCTATTTCACATCATTACCCCCATCTGTACGCAAGAGAAGGTAACTCTGTCAAGGATTTGTTTTAAAAATTAAGGCCTTTTATCGACTTAGAATCTTGGTTAAGTTTTTAGTACCAGTCCACTTTTTGACTGAACTGTTTGAGATATTAATTTGAAAGTTGGAATACTTGTTTACAATCATGATTCCCAAACATGTCCAGGAGAAGGTAATTCTGTCAAAGATTTTATTTGAATTATGGCCCTTAACTGTCAATGTTTTGTATTATAGGCAAGCACTAAAAAACTTAAAAAATCTAAAAAAATTCATTCCTATCTTAAACATTTCAAACTTTGCTGCAGTGTTCAAGGGTATCACACAATTCAGTAAAATAATTCTTCACTAAATATCTTAATGCTCATGGCCATTGTTCACTTTAAAAATACAGAGATTCTTGTATTGCCTTTTACTGCAAAAACTTTTTTTATTGGCAAGCAATAAAAAAGTCGAGCGCGCTGTCTTACGGACAGCTCTTGTTTAATCAAATCGTATCTATTGAAAAATTCTATATTTATTTCAGATCATTATCTCTGTGTTTCTTTATTAGGAACATGAAAACCTCATGGGGCATAAAATGATTATTTGTATTTAGAAAATTTGTCTTGCAGTTTTATGCATAAAAATGTAAGGAATAGTTAAAATTATCACAGATATAGTCCCATGTTACAGTGTTAGGGTTTTGAACATTGTACTGAAAATTGATATGAAACAACAAAAAGGTTAAATTTTAGTTGATTAACGCGTCGAACTAGTAATCTAAGGATTGCTGACTGTTTGGGTTCAAACCCTGTCAGGGGCAAGCCATTGTTTTCTTGAGCAAGAAACTTTACATTCTTGCTTAGTACTGGTTGGTTCCAGGAACGGATTCGAGAGTGTTTCAATAAACTTACAGCTTCCAACACAATCGAACTAAAATAAATTTGTATAAACTAACATAAATAATAACACTTAAACTTGATTTCCAATTATCTATGATAGATGTTTATATATTATAGAGATCAAGTAGAATTGTTAGATTTGGCCTCTAATCAATATCGAACGTCTGATTGCAAGTTGTTGTTTTTTCTCATATAATTAAACCTTAACCCTTTACCATGCTAAATATCTTAAATGAACTTGTCCATCTTTCAAATCTGGACAGAACCATTAATCATTTTTAGGGAATGCAAACCGTGCAGAACATGATCAGATGACATGGATGTATCCACTGACCTTGGTCAGCACTGGTTGTATGGGTATATCTAGTTGCTGCCAGCAGGTTAAAGGTTAAAGATGTGAATTATTACATTTTAGATACCCTTGATAAAGTCTGGGTATAGCTATCATTTCTTCTAGAAAAATGGCACCTTTAATCAATTTGTGACAGATACAAATTATGGAACTCCTTGAAGATAGTGCAAAATGTTCTGGCAACTTTTATTTCAATTTATGATTTATTTGTATTTCAATTTATGATTTGTTTCATTTTGTTAAAGAAATTTGTATTTTAATACTTATTTATTTCACTTCTGAATGTTAAATAATACATTTCTTAGTATATGCTTAATACCGCAAAACAGGCACTTTTTTGCTGATGATGAAAATAATGTTCAGTATTGACCTTAGATGTCAATTTGTGAATGTTTCAAGGTCATCGTAACTTTAAATGTGATATCAGTTTTATTATCACTGTGACTTTTCAGAGACTTATACATAGCTCTTTGGACTTATTTCAAAACAAATTTGGCTGGTTAAGTGTCGTAAAACTTTGATAAACAATTGCAGAGTAGTATATATACATGTAGAAGGGTCATGATATTTATCAAAGGTCAAGGTCACAATGACCCCTGAAAATTATATCTTTATCTGAATTCTTTATCTTTTTATACATATTTGTTATAGCAATGTCATTTACATCCAAAAAAATATCATTTATTGTTCAAATTTCTTTAAAGGCTGCCTCAGTTACATGTGCTATCGTAGAACATACGTACATATATTCTATAAACAACTCTGATTTACACTGTGATAAATAGAATTCCGTCCTTTTCATAATAATTCTGCTTGTTATATAAAGTCTGTATTAATGTTTTTACACTTAATATGATGCATTTTCAATTGTGATATTTACTCAAACTTTTCTGCTGAATAAAACTGTTACTTTTTACAAATTGAGCGTTTGTTGTTTATTGTCATGCAAATTATAATTGTTCTTTTTCTAATGTAAAATGAAACAAACCGTGTTGTAACTAATTTCACCTCTAAGATGAAGATTCAATCCCACCTCCATACCATGCCATTCTCATTGCTGAATAAATCATCTGGTGACATTTAAAAAGTGACATTTTCAGCTCCATATTAAAATTATGATTTGTCTAATTGTCTTGTAGGTTTAAAGTGATGGGATTTCAAAATTATTTGGCACATATGCTTATCATTTCGTGTTAAGAACCATGTAACTTTTGCAAAGTGCAATGTTACACCCATACTGAACTATCTCATTACATTAATATAGTGTGTTTGCCTTCTATGCTTGTAAAATTTGCACATGTTCTTAGAGTAATATTGTATTGCCAACTTTCCATAAATTTTTGTAGTGATAATCATTCCGTTATATGTACTATTTTTTCCACTGTTTAATACTTCATAATTCACTAAATTGTTTTTTTCTTCTTCAAAATCGCAGGCATAAGGCAAATTTAAGGTCTCTGTGAAAGAGGACTCCCACCCCCTCACAATTGCAATGACGGGGAAAAGTGTTGCAAAATTTAGTATCGCTCAAACTTGTTTATTGGCTGTACGTTTATAGAAGATTCAACAATGTTTTTAGAAAGCAATTTCGTAAACGAATCCTGCTTTTATAAAGTTGATAATATTTCAGTTTTCTCTTTCATTCCATTCACTCTGAATGTGTGTTCCTTTCGTATATCTTTGAGGAGTTACTAAATTTCTTTTTGTAACCTGGAAAATATACTACAACTACGACCGATATTGGCATGTGTTACAACTACAGCTCGTATTGATGTGTGTTAATTATATTCAAGAGCTGATTTGGTACCATGTAACATGGGGAAAATGTTTTTTCCTAATACAGAATCCCGGAACAATAATAAAATTCTAGTGTGTCAATTTTGGACAAAAATACCATAAAACTGTTGCTTGTCAAGATTAACATTTGAAAATAATTCTAATCTGACTGGCTTTTAAGACAAGTTTTTCATATCGTTTGTCTTTCAGAAGATAAAAAAACGGACAATAGTTAATACATGTAGATAATAATTAATCAAGGTGAAGTGTTCCTTCTTAAACTTTATATGGAGCTACAGTTAACTTGCTTTTGCTAATTCTAAAATGATGAAGCAATTACTATGTTGGCTGATTTGTGACATGTACTTTCGGTCGACAATGCGCGTGGCGAAAACACGAACATAGATAAAGTTGTCAATATTCACCTTGCGCCCCTCGGAGCCAATGTAGGACAAAGTGCTCATTTTGTCGTATTTTCGTGTCCCGAGAAACAAAATTACAACATGATACAAATCAGCCACCACATATAACAATACATTCAGAGTAATTAAACCTACTTTATTTAATTTCATATAAGTAAAATTTACTTTGGGAAACGTTTAATGCACTTTAGAGGGAAATTGAATTTTGTCTTCATACTAGTTCAATATTGTTTTTCATCTTCATGGAGACTACAGAAATCAAATGGTTATAAAAGCTAAAAGTATTGAATTTGTACCTTAGTCTTTCAAAGAGGTTTTGAAAAACCCACTATCATTAATGTTAGGGGCGTCCGTGGCCGAGTGGTTAAGGTCGTTGACTTCCAACCACTTGCCCCTCACCGCTGTGGGTTCGAATCCCGACAGGGACTTTGGATTCTTTCATGTGAGGAAGCTATCCAGCTAGCTTACGGAACGTCGGTGGTTCTACTCGGGTACCCCTTCGTGCCTGAAATAATGCACGGAAGGGCACATGAGGTCTTCCTCCAGCAGTGAAGCTGGAACGTCGCGATATGACCTATACTGTGTCGATGTGACGTAAAACCCAAAACAAACAAACAATCATTAATGTTTAGTCATTTTACAATTTAACAATATGGAGTGTTTGTTGCTCGTTGGGTATATACAAATATTCAAAGTTACCTCAGTATTTTAAGGCTGCCTCAGTTACATGTGCTATCGTAGAAGATATATGTAATATATTCTACAAACAACTCTGATTTACACTGTGATAAATATAATTTCGTCCTTTTTTCATATAACCCTGCTTGTTATATTAAAGTCTGTATTATTTTTTTTACACGTAATAAGATGCATTTTCAATTGTGATATTTACTCAATTTTTCTGCTGAATAAAACTTTTACTTTTTACAAATTGAGTGTTTGTTGTTTATTGTAATGCACATTATAATTGTTCTTTTTCTAATGTAAAATGAAACAAACCGTGTGGTAACTAATATCACCTCCAAGATGAAGATTCTATCCCATCTCCATATCTTGCCATTCTTATTGCTGAATAAATTATCTGGTAACATTTAAAAAGTGACATTTTCAGCTCCGTATTAAAAGTATGATATGTTTAATTGTCTTGTAGGTTTAAAGTGATGGGATTTCAAAATAATTTGGCACATATGCTTATTATTTCGTGTTAAGAATCATGGGCACTGTTGCACTCATACTGAACTACTTCAATATTTTGTTTATGAATGCATTAAAAGTTGTGTTATCTATGCATGGTACAATGTGCACATATCCTGAAATTAATATTGTATTGCAAACTTTCCATAAATTGATGTAGTACTATTTTTCCACTGTTTAATACTTCATAATTCACTAAACTTCAAAATCGCTGGCATAAGGCAAATTTAAGGTTTACGTTACAGCCTCTGTGAAAGAGGACTCCCACCCCCTCACAATCGCAATGAAAAAGTGTTGCAAAATTAAGTATCGGTTCAAACTTGTTCATTGGCAGTACGATTATGGAAAATTCCACACAGTTTTAAAAAGCAATATCGTTAACTAATTCTGCTTTTATAAATTTGATAATATTTCAGTTTTCTTCGTCATTCCATACACACAAAATGTGTGTTCTTGCTTTATGATCATATCGAAGTACGTATATCGTTGAGGAGTTTCTTAATTTCTTTTTGTAAATCATGTTAACATGATCCTGGAAAATATACTACACTGGCATGTGTAACAACTACAGACTATATTGATATGTGTTAATTATATATAAGAGCTGATTTGGTACCCTGTAACATGGGGAAAATGATTTTTCCTAATACAGAGTCCCGGAACACTCGTAAAATTCTGGTCTGTCAGTTTTGGACAAAAAGACCATAAAACTGTTGCTTTATCAAGATTAACATTTGGAAATAATACTAATCTGACTGGCTTTTAAGGCAAGTTTTCAATATCATTTGTCGTTCAGAAGATAAAAGAACGGACAATAGTTAAAAAGTATTTACGATGTTTTCGAGGGTACTTTTACCAATATTTGGAGCATTTGTTGAGTTTATACACATATTTGAAATGATCACATTACTGAAACGTTTAACACAATTTAAATATAGTCTTTTTTCTTAATTTAAACAAAGAAAACGCATGTTACCTTATTTACAAACACTCGATTGTCACTTCTGTGAATTTTACTAAGAATGCAAGGTTTGTACGAATAAAAAAACAACATATGATAATGTATCTCAGATCAAATCTCACCAAAGTACGTATACCAATTAATAATCACGATTTTTTAACATCAAAATACCCAATACGAGGCAAAACAAATACAACAGCGTCACGAATGAACGCCTGCTCTTGCTCTGGTCATAGAAGCAAATGCTTTAAGTTGAAATATCTTAGAACAATACAAGTATAGAACAAAACAAGAAGAAGTTGTTTCAATTCGGCTATTGTATGCTTCATTTGTTTGTTTGTTGCCTGTATTCAGGTCAGACAAGAAGTGGCCTAATGATCAAGGTTTCTGCTTCTCAGCATATTTTGGTCCTTTGAGTTTGCTCCCATGTTTCATCATATGATGGCGCTGTTTAATTAGTTTCCAGAAATTAGGCAGAATGGAGTTATTCAGACAAGCTAGCTATCTTCCTGAGCGATCTTAAATGACTAATATTTGAACAGAGGCACTGATTTTGGCAAAGTATTTGCAAATGTCACAGGTCCATATAAGTTTTATATCGCTATTTATATCATAAGTCAAATTTTCTTTATTACATAATTATTGCGTGTGGTTTTCAGTAAGTCATCAAGTCAAAAAGTCCTAATTTCTTTTTACAGTCTTTTTATTCTTTATAGTTTACAAGTTTATTTCTATACCCTACTGTAGTATTAAAAGTATCATGTATCAAATAAACTAATAGAGAAACAGAAAGAAACACTTTTATGAGATTTAGAATTTATCATACACCCCTTTTTTTTATAATGACGTATCGATGAAAAAAAAACATGAACCAATTAATCGAATATCATATATGAGTATATGTATTCAAGTTATGGTGGTTTTATTTCACTTTGATGTTTGTAATTAAGAAAATAAACATACTATCCATTTAATTTGTGGCCTAGTATAAAATTAGACAAAGAAGATCAATCATTATTTATAAATGTGAAAAGATATCCTTCTTTTCCTGTGACAAAGTAGTTTTAATTGTGTTGAAATCGAGGAAGGGATATTTTAAAATAAAGGTAAAATATTTATAAATATACATTTATATACACATTTCTATTTATCATTGCTGCACAACATTTCAGTCAACATATTTCTCATCTTTTTTATTTTATTACTCTATTTAGCAGATTACATTTGGAAAACCGACGCGTAACGAACTTTAATCCGACGCTCTTTTTTTTAGAATTAGAATTGTCAATAATAAAACAAACTTTCAATGTATAAAAAAAACTCAATTCTTACTCTTATTTTATGATGTTATACAGTAACACAATTATATACTCATGACTTTAATGATATGTAATATCTACTAGTTTTATACATGGCTAAAGATAGGTAGTTAATTGCCCCATACATCAACTTCACGTATATAAAAACTTCATGAATTAAGTCAGTCCTTCACATAATATGAATGTTTACTTTTGGTTATCTTATTAATTATGTTTGGTCAAAGTGCTCGGAATTTCATCTGTTTACATATATCTCAAATCAATGGTACTCCACAAGATGGTTCCAATATCATCATTGGAAACTCTTGAGTTCATTGGATATTAGACTTCCGTTTGGCGTACGTCTTGGGTATAAACGGACACCCCAACGTTGCTATTCTTATGTGGTATTTTGCATTCTAATTATAAGTCGATCCACTTAACAAAAGTGGTAACCATATATGACATATACGGATTGAAGGAAAAATAAATTTTGAAACTGCAACCACTTATTGCTTTATATCTGGACATACATCTTAACCAAATAAACTCCTTTCCATGCGCCCTTTTAAAAAAAAAATCCCATGATTTAATCGACTTCTTATCAGTAGAAAGTTGTTTGCATTCAACTCATGATTTCATACTCTTTAAAAACTTTAGCATATAAAGACACTTTTGTTAATTTATTATTTTGCTCGAAAATTTTACTTTATCATGATTGCAAACGCTTACGCTTAAATATATTCAGTACCAGGTGAAAGAAATATAAGTAATTATATGACCATGAACTTAGATTCAAGGTTCCAGGTGCTTTAATGATCAAAAATTGCAATGACATGTGTTACTTAAATAGAAACTATTGGTGATTTAACTCTTTAAAAAATTATGTTTTTTTATTATGTAAAATCTTTGCTTACAATTCCACCCGTTTCTGTATGACATGTTTGTCATTATTTATTTTTCTTAAATCATTTGATTTTTCTTTTTCTGAAACATGTTTGCTATTAGCATATTCGTTAATGACTTTACAATGTATGTTTGAGTAATGTTATTATTATTTGTATTAAGTCTATAAATTTGAAAATAATATAATAAAACGATTATAATATCATAGTGCCAGGATATTACAAGATTTATCTTTCAGAGGCAAGCCTCAAATGTTATTATGTATTTGTTTGTTTATCAGACCATAAACCTTTAAAAAAAAGAATGAATCAAACAAACAACTGTTCAGCTTCATCGTTTTCTAAAGCAATTGGCACCATAGTGTCCGGGGCTTATTTGCTCCAAGTTTTATTTTATAGGTAAATCTAATGCTAACAAATTAAAAAAAGTAATTGGATTGGGGTAATAGATTACTAATACTGCAGATCGTGTTCACCATGTCGTAATTTTGTAAAACACTGATTTCCACAATGATTTCATACTGTAATTTGTTAATGGGTTACACCTCCTTTGCAAACGATTGCTTTATGATTTTATTTTCAGCGAAATTTCCCTAAACTGTGTGACTATAGCAGGGAAACATTCACCGATATATTTTACAGTGCTAAACATTTGATAGAATATTACACATGTCTATCAGTCGAATCTAGAACAACATGTCGTATTCAAGTGAGCTATAGGATCATTGAAAACCAAAGAACAAGACAAAAGCCAAAGGGCGTGTTTGGCAAAAAGGCTAAAGCTAGAAATTTCATATAGTGTCATTGTAAGTATATGATTAAATATTTTAAAGTTTAATTTCTCCAATCCTTATTTAATTAAGGTAAAGTAACATTAAAATGTCCCAAACTTAAGCTCTTTCTCTAATCATATGCTCTATATCTTAGAAATATCTTTTATAAGATTGACCAAAAGTAAAATTGAAGTGTTTTAATAATCTTAAGGTCGATTCTCGAAAGAGCTCTTATAAATAATGTCTCTAACGCACAATGATATAGAACTTAATCTACCATGAACTAAATAGACCTACTATGATGCTATCACAGGTTTTAAGCGTTTAGCAATTCTTTTATGTTTGCGCCATTCACTTTAAAGGCAATATATAATGGTATTTCTTTCATAAAAGCAATTTGGAAGTACATGTATTCTTCTTTAGAATTTAACCCATTACTGCATGAGCATTTTGTGAAAAATGCTGTTTTCATTGAAAAGTCTCCCGTTACAAGTTCAAATTGCTATAAAACTATAAAAACTGCTTCAATACTAATCAAACTTGGCACAAATGTTGACCATTGCCTTTGTAACAACATGCTCAGTCTTAATTTTCCTGTTACCATGGCAACGAGGGGACATCTCAAAATTGTCAAAAAATCACTATTTTGCGTTGATTTTTTCCATCAAAATTGATTTCAAAGTGCTGCAACTTCTCAATGGATTAATATACAGTAAAAGGCTTTTCAGTGTTGGTTACACGTTACCTTATGATCAACCTGGGGTCATTTTTAGCCTCTCACAAGTCCAAAATTTTCTTGGCGATGAGGGGGCGACCTCCCCTCCAAACCCCCAAACAGAAGGGGACACATCCCACTTCTGGCAACCCCCTGATGTATCTTTTAGATAGGGGGCGGCGCTGGAAAAGTGGTCGTTTTTTAAACAACATTTCTCAAACAAAAAAGTGTTGGGGCCGGAATAAGGCATTATTTGACCATTTGAGTCCACACAAGGGGGAGGGAGGGGGGTGAAAAGGGCGTTGAAAGGCGTGTATATCTGGTAATGGGTTAAACAAAAATTTTGCAGCGGAAATATAGCTTTAAACACTTTAAAGCTGTATGTTTGCAAAGGAACTAAAATGTTCTTTTTCTTTGTAAACAATTACTTTCATTCTGTATTGTATCGTGAAAATTGATATAAATCACAAAACTTTCTTTCGGATCAAACACAAAGCATTATGTATTCTTTTTCAATAGGCGAATTTTCTTTGTAATAAAATCCAACAATCCAGGCGTGAATGTTCAAGCTAATTCAGTGTAATTGTTCTTTATTTCTAAAAAATGCATGGTTTCACATGTTAATACGCTTTGTTATCAGCCATTTCAGGAATGAAATAGATGACAATTTAAGAGCCAAATAATCATATTTCATTTATCTCCAACGTGGGATTTGACAGAATGTTGCTTTTAGTTCCTCAAAAGCTGGGATTATTGTATATTGTTTTCAGTATTTTAATGTAAGTAGCTGACAGATATCATGGCTCAAGGCGGTATGTGAAATGTCAAACAAATCGAGTATACCGCTAAATGACTCAAACTAATTGACATTATTGCGTGACTGAAAATGAAATCTTATTTCTGATCAGGACCATTAAGCTGTCACTGTGAAAGTATATTTATATCTTTTTTAGAAAGAAAAAAAAAACACCAGCAACAACACCGCAGTACTTAAGTTAACTGAAACACAAGCCAGTTATTCATTGCTGGAACAAAATGATATGAGCCGCGTCACGACAAAACCAACATAATGGGTTTGCGACCAGCATGGATCCAGACCATCCTGCGCATCCGCGCAGTCTGATCAGGATCCATGCTGGTCGCAAACCCATTATGTTGGTTTTGTCGTGACACGGCTCAAATGCACTTTTGTCTGGTGTCTAAACACTCATGACATTTACCAGTGTTAATAAAATTAATAAAACGAAGTTCGGACGACACACATATAATGATATAAATGATTAAAAAGAAATGCGATTACCGATATGATTAAATCTGCAACGATTAAATTGGAAAAGTGACCAGTGAAAAAATATCGCCGTCTAATTTTAATACCTAACTGGTATATCGGCTAGCGCCATAAAATAATAATAAATGATAATTTCAGTTGTGTGATTTTAACCACATTGCACTTTGCATCGACTTTTTAGTCCAATTAACGAGATCAGGAAGGCTTGAATGTCCACTATGTTATAAAGTAATGAATGGTTTCAGAAGTATAATACTGTGTTACAGTAGCATTTGACCCTGGCCTTTACGGCACATAAATAAGACATTAACATTTTTATGAATTTATGGACTTAGTATATAATACGAGTATAAGACTGTAGTAGGATATAAAACAAATAGTACTAGCCTAAACAGCCCATCAATTAATTCAAAACGCTCATTCATTCATCATGTTTTAATGTGCGTAGATTACACTCGTGTATTTCCTCAAACACTATTTTTTAATACTTGATTCCCGTTTACAACAAATCATTGTTTAGTGCAAACCGCTTAAAACTCAGTTTTTTTCACAGTAAAATGCTCTATAAAGAAACGTTATGCATACACATAACTTGTTATTATCAAAATTAATGAACATTATGGCACGATTTCTTTAAAAGACGAAACGTAAAGGAGAACTTTATGTATTCAACATAATTATCTTATGAATGATTAAAGAACAGAACAGAACTTTTACAATAAATGTATCTTGTTAATAAAACATCAGATTAAATGCATAATACACGTGACTAGGAAACAATTTTGAAAGTAAATAAAAAAATATATATAATTAATCTCAAGACATATTCAAGATTTTACTCAAGATTTTATTCATGATATAAGAAATACTTCTGATCTTAAGTAGAAATTCAGCGATAATTTTGCTGCCATGTCATTGGCCTTTACATATACTGCTTTACGTTTGTGTTATTTTATAAAAATGGAATCAAGAGGTTTGTCTTTCTAGAATAAAAGTTAATAAAGTTATTATATTATTTAAGTTTATCCAATAATTCCTCCTGGGTTTGGTTAGTAGGTTAAAAAAGGACATTGAGATATGGATATTTAGCAAAAAAAATTCTGGTGAAAAATACCTGATACGCGCTTGCGAAGTAAAAAAAATCAAAACTGTTTAGTACTACAATGTATAAATAATACTACCTGCATGTATTATAAGTAATGGAATATAGAACTGTAAGTATAGTTAACAAAACGAAATACATGTATATTCCATTTTTAATGTTCATGAAAGGTTAATAAAATTTGACACTATAGTAGTCATCATATTTTTGCAGGCACTTGACAAGTGATGTTAGAAAATTAAAACAGAAGATAATCAAGCTGTTTGAACTTAAAAACCTTTAAGCACTGGATTCAGGTCAACAAATTCAACTAAAGGTTAAACAAAGAAATAATGTTAAAGTTTCTGACATCAGGCAAATTAATAAAGCATACCGATCCTGGAAAATTTTTGGTTGGCTTTTATGTGTGTTATTCGATGAAATCCTGTCCAGCAAAGTATTTAAAAGAAGAAAAGCATCATGAGCTTAGCTCAAACTGCTTCACATCAAAAGAAGATGTACAAATAAATGCACATATCTCATTTGTGAAAAAACAAAACAAAAAAACACACATTTACATAAATTACTTTATCTATATATGATATGACGACTAAATTGAGAGAAAAAAATGTTTGATACAAGTCACGTAGTAATTTAAAATGAGACTTTGACAAAGATTGAAACTGGAATAAGGCAGTAAACACATACGTTTAACAGCCAAAATATTAACAAATATTGTCACGTGATACTAAATGAAATGCAGTTTTATTGTTTACCTCATCTTTGTTAATAGCATGCATTTCGTTTGACATAAAATGGTTCACTGTCCTTTTAATTAACAACTACTTCAAATGTAAACAAATAAACAAATGACGCTGTTCACAAAGAGTTAAACCTAAATTGTTCATTACAAAAATTGTTTTCCTTTTGTAATATTACTGAAATAGTCTTGTGTCGTTCGTACCTTTTATTTTGTTGTCATGATTTAGCATGTTTTGCTATCATCAGATAACATAATTCAATGATTTATCAAAACAAAACATAAATTTCCTATTTGATTGCCATTTTGTTGATAGGGTTTTCTATGCGATATACTTAATTGTAGTTAAGAGAACGGTGACCTGGTGGATATATAAGGTGTTTGTCTTACAACCCAGAAATCGTGGGTTCTAGCACTACCTAACTACTCGGGTCAGGACCATGTAGCCTCATATGACACCATAACAAGATTGATATAAATTTTCTACCTTGTATCGCTCTCTAGCGTAAATAAATATCTTTAAACCACATGGTTATTTTTGTTACAATATTTTCAGTAAATGCCATTACTACAATGGAAAATTATAGACAGAAATAAAATAATTACATTACATTTTAAAATTTTATAGCTCCATCATCTTTCTACCTGGAATAAGAACTGCGATGCTGCAAGAAAGCATCATTTTCTACATTGTATATGTAACACTGGTTGCCGGCCAGGGTTCAGTACTTCCGGCAAGTAATCAAGTCTGCTTGATTGTTCCTCAGGACGTAGAACTATGTTACAGAAATTTCCAAGGAAAACCAATCGAGGATAAAGCTGCTCAAGTTAATTGTTTACAGGTAACTGGTTAATTGTTTATACGGGTAACCGGTTAATTGTTTATACGGGTAACTGCTTAATTGTTTATACAGGAATAAGTTCATTGTTAACTGGTAATTAGTTTATTTAATTTAGTTCCCAGGTAACATGTCAATTGTTTCAAATTAACAAGTTAATTGTTTACAGGTAAAAAGTTACTTGTTTACAGGTAAAAAGTTACTTGTTTAAAGGTTACTTACTAATTGTTTACTGGTTACACTTTAATTGCTACAGGTAATTAGTTAATAGTTAAATGGTAACAAGTTAACTGTTTACAGGTAACGCACTAAGTAATAGAAAGAGCACCGAAACACGAGGCTATCTGATTTGTACGAGGGGGCGTATTAATCAGATTGCCGAGTGTTTTGGTGTTCTTTCTCTTTTGTATCATAGTCAAACATAAAAGCATGTTCCCTGTTCTCACAATATGAAACCCCGGCAAAAATGAACCAATGAACGAACATCTGAATATGACATTTCTGTCGCTTTCCCTTTCTCTGCCGTCACAGTATGTAAACCCCAGCAAAAATGAGCAAATCAATGGGCATGCTCTGGAGTGCGGGTAACTAATGCCCGCACTCCAGTTAACGCACTGTGCATGTATATGTATACGATTTAACCCTGACACATTTTCAACAGAAAGGTCTCCAAACTATGATACAATTGTAACTTGTGACACGTTATTTACAAGTAACAAGTTAATAGTTTACAGATAATCGTATATTTACAATATGTTTGTCCCTGAAATTTGACTGTTTATATAACTGTGATATATTTTATTCTGACTTCAAACGAGCATGTATGCCATTTTCTCATATGTACGGAAGCATGTATGGGGCATTGGAATGAAGAGGTGATGTCGTTTCTGTCGAGTTATACAACACTTTTATTATTTCATAATAAGTATACGCAAAAAAAATTGTCATGACAAAAGTGTGCAATATTTCAATGTCAAAATGGATGTTGTTGCCGTCGTAATAATTTAAATATCTTATCAAAACTATATTATTAGAACATTCAACTCGTAAACAGTGTGTTGTGTATTCGGTGAAGAAAACAAAACATGTTATTTAAGTAAAATTTAAAAACTTATTAGAAAATGTCAAAATAAATTTGAAAATAAATTTTGTTAAATAAGTTGTTATGCTAGACCATCGTAAATATATTCCGAAACAATTACAAGTGTTATCTAGGATTTTCAAGAAATGCCCCGTTTGATAAACATGAATATGTACGGTGGCATAGAGGTGACATTTGCAGTATTTTTTTATCTAGTGGTCACGAAGTATTATCTCGTGGCCTCAAGATAATATATTATTGCCACGACTTATTATCTCGTATCCTCAATGTATTATCTCGTGGCCACAACTTTAATCTTGTGGCCACGACTTATTATCTGGTGGTCACACGATATTATCTCGTGGCCACGACTTATTATCTTGTGGCCACGACTTATTATCTCGTGGCTTCGAGATATAATCTAGAGACCACAACTTATTATCTTGAGGCCACGAGATACTAAGTCGTGGCCACTAGATAATATCTTGAGGCCACAAGATAATAAGTCGTGGCCACGAGATAAAAAAGAACTGCAAATACCACCTCTATGCCACAGTAGTTATGCTAAGAAATTATACTGTTTTTATATCATAAGATTATGTTAGAAGAGTGTAGATAATGTGACATAATCGTTATATTGGCGTCCTGCATTAAACAGAACCTTGTAAAATGTATAATCCTTATCTTATGTAATTAACAATCCCCATTATTATATGTCTCGATTGATAACAAAAGTCCCTTTTATCATTTCTAGAAATTATTATGGAATTTTACACCAGACACAAACAACACAGAAGCGGAGATTGCTTATTTCAGAAGTTTAGCGGGTGATGTGGGGGCGTATAAAGCTTCTAGTATACTTCGTAATGGGAATCCGCGACCACCTAGTGGAAGACGTGCTCGGCAAGAATACCGCACTCTGACACAGCAAGAGCGGGACAGATTTCATAGAGCCCTGAACAAGTTGTATGAGGTATTGTAACAAATACCGACTTTTTTATTGATAGCCCAATAAGTATTTTAGTACTTTACTGTTTGTATAAATAGCAAAATGAGCAAATGGTAACGCAAGTTTTCATTCCTGTTAGTAATTTTTCAATATCAATATACACTTATATGCAGAAATGGCACATTATTTGAAAATATTGTTACCAGATATAAGGCGATTTTTAGAGGTTATTAAGATTTAACTTTTATTCTTAGATAACGAACGATGGTATCTATGTATACAAACAGCAAAAACATTACAACTCATTACGTTTTGAACTACAAGTTCTTTTTGTGTACACTACTTGGACATGACTTTTGATTTCCTATTCGGCCAGTTTCATGCAATAGAAAAACAAGTAGATATTTTGATGCTAAAGCATCAAGTCGCCGGATAGAAATATGATTGTATTATCATAAATAAAAGAAAATATCAGTTTAATGGTTCGAGTATAAAGAAAAAATAGGAACAATAAGTTGAGTAATGTTTATTCATAAACACGTTTTCATTTACTTGCCACAATAATATCTTTCTTGCTGAGAGTTTTATGCAATAAATTTATGTTATGTTATAATAAAACATCATATTTGAAGCAAACTTGCTTAGCAATTTTGTCAAGAAACTGTTATCATTATTAAATAAGCAAGTATTGTTTGGCAATATTTACCCGAGACTTAATAATTTTCGGGAGCTGTTTCGTTTGCTTACATAACTTATTATGATTTATGTTAACGATTTTATTGTAAGTATAATTACATGTATAATTATATCAATTAATACTGCTCGATGGCCTAGTGGTAAGTATGACGAAGTTGTAACCTACATGTAGTAGGCGCAAGTTCGAATCTCGGACAAATCCTGTGTGTAGTTTTCATAAATTGATTTTTATTATATCTTTTAACTTTATGAAACATAAGTTGATAAATCGTGTGTTTCATTTCTAGCACTTTTTTATTTAATAAGTTTGATAAACGGTCAAGTTTTGCAAAATACAAAAAGTATTATAAAAGAAAACATAAAAAATCACTTTATCGAACCTATACAGTCTTCAATTTGAAACTAACTTAAAATCTAACACCTTGTCATCGAGGCTTGTAAAGCAAATGATATGATTATAATTCTACTTTTAATTCTACTTTATACATATACCGCTGTACCATACATTTGAACTCCGTATGGTTTTCTTCAGCATCCGATAATTACCGACAAATTATTACCGATCATCGAATATTTGCAAAGTGACTATGAAAATATATATGCTTAATTATGGCATAAAACAATGCAATTCTACTGTAAAAGTGGTGTCTGCATAAACAAAATTATTCTTATACACTATCGAAAAAAAATATTATTTGGCTGAAATCAATATTCCTGTCGTTACATACGATATAGTTAACGTTTAATTGCCTTTCAGTGCGATATACTATCAACACAAAGATGGTTTACTAGTTTTCTCTTTGTATCCAATACGATTCCGGCCCCTACTGTCATATACAAAATTACTTTGATTTGCACTTTATCAGCTGCCAACCATTCACAAGTTACCTGTATGTCTGTCTTATCAGCCATTTGTTACTATTAATAGATTTTATAACAATAACATACAACGTGTAGTCACGTGATTCTGGGAGAAACTGATTATAATAAATAAGATAAAAAAATAGAATAGGTCTCATAAGATACAAACAACCAGCTAATTTAAAAGTGTCATTTCAAATATCATGCATGATTTATTTATCATAAAATAGCAACGCTTGACACTTTAAAAAAAGTAAAAGCATCCCTAAATTCAATGACTGGTCCATAGGGATACGTCGTTAATTCATTTTATAAAAATTGTAATGTTGCTTTTTACGATATCAATATTTGAATATTTCATTTCATTGAGCAACGTTATTGTATGTTTGAATTTTTGAGATTACTGAAAACAATTGTAGTCTTTAATTGTTCAGTAATTATTATGCTTTTATTTACAGAAATTAATGCCTTCTCCTACCATAGGTATAATATTAAACTGTTACAAATATAGTCGCCGGTTTCTACCGGCGACTAATAATGACGTATACGTAATACAGTTTAAAAAAATCATGCTTTTGTGTTTTCTGAAGCACAACTATTTTATTCCATCTTCTTTAAATTTGTGCTTTACGTAATATAATATCAAATTTGTGAATATTCCACGAAGTTTGAAACATTTGTATGTGACTCGTACCCTTGCTTGACAATCTAAAATATACATTGACATTCTTAACAAAAATGAGATATTTTTTATTACAAATGAAAATTCTGTGCAAAAATTACATTTGAATACATTCGTAATTACAGGATGGAACGTTAAGTGCGTTTGCTCGACTATATGCACGTGCATTTAGTTCTCATCACAATGGACCATCTTATTTACCTTGGCACAGGGTGTTCCTAGTTATGTAAGTAGACATTGTGGATTAGAAATATACATAAATTAACACTACACAAAACTAACGTAACAAAAATGCACCCATTGAACAAATTTTAAATTTATGAAATTGAAAATCTAACAATAAAATCCTAGTTGTTAGACAATAACAACTCGCAGTTGCACTATGTTATAACGTTTCAGTAGCATTACACGTTTGTTTTAATATAAAATTTGATACAATTTTGCACTAAAACGTTTCTGGTCTTCTTGAAAAAATTTAAATATTCATGTGAAAACAAGTACGTAGTAAATATTGTGTGCAAATACTATTATATTCTAACCATAAGTTCATACGGAGATACATACCTACCAATTTACCTGCATACATACATACATACACCCAGAAACTGAAAACAATAATATGTGAAAGAGTACCCCTGGGAAATTAAGAAGTTGATGGGCTATCTATTTCAATTTCCGTCAGGTTTGAAGAAGCACTTCGGCGGATTGACCCAAAAGTAGCTCTTCCATTCTGGGACAGTACAATGGACCATGACATGGATAACCCTGTCAATTCCGTTATCTGGACGCCGCCATACTTTGGTAATGGAATAGGTAACGTCAAATCTGGTCCTGCGGCAAACTGGGTAACAGACAGAGGTAATCTTGAGAGAAATTATGGCCAAGCAAGTCGGCTCTTTTCAAAGGATCATATCCGTACGATACTGTCCAAATGTGAACTTCAGGTAGCATTCATTACAGATATACATAATAGAAATACTTTGATAGAATAAAAAAAAGCAGAAATAGTATAAGTATAAACAATACATCATAACAAGTTATATAGACAGTAAAGCTATTCCCTTTACAGAAATAGTAAAATATTGCAATCCACTTTATTAATAGCTTTTTAACAAACCAATTTGCTGTATTTTTAATATAAAGTATCTATTAGTTTTCAGAGCTGTAGCTATAATATAATTATTAAGATACAACCATAGACTTCTCACATATTGCAGGACATTTCGCAACCGACTGCAGACATTGGCTATGATTTTGAGTTGTATAATGGGGGAGTGCATACATGGGTTGGCGGTGATATGGCTTCTCCCGACACATCTGCATATGACCCTATACACTACATGCATCATGCTTTTACTGATTACGTGTGGGAACTGTTTCGAAGAAGACAGTACCGCCGATGCGGTATAGACGCAACCCAAGACTATCCTAATGTACCTGCCGGTAATAGCCATGCACCCGAGTCACCTATGACAGGATTTGAATGGTTGACGAATTCAGACGGATTGAAGCATTATTGGATTGATAATTGGTATTATTATGAGTCCACACCATCTTGCCCTAACTGTTGTAGAGGTTGTCAATATCCTGCCCCAATTTATTGTGAGAGGCGCCGGAGGGTGTGTGTCGCGCGTTCTCGTAGATTGTTTGCATTTGGGCCGAGAACGCCGGCCACGAGTCCTGCAAAAGCATTTGCACAAGCTAGTTTAGACAGAGAGGAGATCGAAGCTCTCTCTGTTCCGTCACCACCTATTAATAGAGGTGTTAAATATCAACATCCGCCCCATGACGGTCGTACAATTCACACTGCTATATCTGATGCCTTTTCCGCAGCAAATGAAGAAAGACTGGCTTCTCAACAAACCAAAGTAACGTCAAATGAAAGAGACGTTTCGAGCAGACGAAGTTCACGACGTAGTAAAAGTAGTCGATCGAGAAGAAGAGAAATTCCTGATGGCTGGGGACCTCCTCCTGATAGGAATTCTGACAGTCGGAGAACTTCAGGCGACAGAAGAGCCTTTTCATCTGACCGAATTTCTGCATTTGAACGAGCACAAACCGCAGACAACACTTTACATCAAAGTGATAGAAGGGTAGGATCCACTGCTCGTAGTCTATCGCCAAATAGAAGAATAAATCCAGACCCACGGGGATCATCCCCAGAAAGAAGAACTTTTGAATCACCAAGGTCTCAATTAAAGAGGAGAGTATTCTCTGATGAACGGCGGCCTGTGCAGGACAGAAGATTTTTACAAGATGGCCAATTATCTCGGCATTCCCAGGGGGATTTACGATCCACTGAAAGAGGTATAATAGCTGCCTTTGCCGATACTCGGGATTTAAGACGTGCTGATACAGTCCCTTCTACATCGACCGATCACAGGTCATCACCAGTAGAAAGTCGGATAAAGCCTCCTGGTGGGAGACTTTCACCACCACAAAATCTCATAACCCCAGAATTGAGGGCATTTTCAACACAAGGAGCATCGGTTAGTGGGATGATGCATTAATTGTATATCTAATACAAACATTAATTACAGAGGCATAAAAAGGCATAAAATGTTATACATTCTTTCTTTAACAGCTACTCCTCCATTATTGAAATTTTCAGTCAAATTAACCATTACATTTCTTTTCCATTGAAATTCCTTCAGCTACAGTAAATGTAGTTTAAAGTCAGATAAACAAAGTGTGTAAATTCGTATTATATTCTTATATCTTATATTTTATTATTTCAAAAAATGAGAACGAATCATTGCTTTATTTTTTTCAGATAATAGACATGCGAAATGTGAAAATTGCCGAAAAAAGTCCTAGAAACAGAGGGCGGTTAATTGATGCCCCACCACGATAAAAGAGCTTTACAGAACGTTTGTGACATGGTTCGGTTTAACGTTGAGGAGAAGTTAAAACAGTGTTATTTAAATAAATTAAGGAATGACAGTGATAAAAATACTTTTATAGTTTTTTTTGACAGAGACGTGCTATAATAGATCACACGTATTTTTTTATAAGTTTATGTATTATTCATCCAGAAGGTCTTAGACCTATGTAGCAAAACATATAAGAATACATATATGTCGACAAGGTAAATGTATCACAAATACAAGTATCAAATTTATACATAATTTGATCATTTTAAGTAAATAAACAAGGGTACAGAATTAGGGGTACAAATTTCCCTAAGGATTTTTAATTGTGTATATGACAAAACGTCTTACTATTCTCCTCATTGGCCTCATTTAGTTCACGTGTTAGAATAGATGCTATCCTGAACTCGGCACGTCTGGCTTTTTCTAAGCTTATCAACCGGTACAAATACATTTTGAGTTATTTTTATGTCTTGCTTTTTTCTAATTGTCATAATGATAAGCATTATTTTATGGAATATGTCACTAGAAAGGAGACTATGGTTTATATTTGGAACATAATAAAAGGATCAATTGCAAAATCATTCATATAGAGCAGCATATTGTTTACTTCGATCTGGGATATACTGTTATATTATGTCCCAGCTTCAATGTAATATAAAGTAATTAAAACAGAAACTTATTTCAATATAAAACAATGTCAGAATACATTTCATTATAATGAATGCAAAACGCATTATGAACTAAAAGCAAGACAAAAGCATAGAGAAACATAGAAATTTACATCTAATCTGTCGTATATTTGATTTAATTTCACCTCCTTTAGATTCTTAATTTTATTTGATCTTTTGACCTGGGAAATTAATACTGCGTGAATCAGAATCATATCTGAGACTTAAAAAACCTTCAAAGATATAAGTATTTACCTTTATACATACATGTTTGTAAATGACAGTACATAATTAATGTTAATTTATTTTGAGGAAGTAATTACCTCATTTGCCTTGAATGTAGGCTATCTTTGTTTTAATCTAATAAATTTGAATAATAAATAATCATCTTTTATTAGAACTAAAATATAAAAATATAATTAACATGTTTAAAAAGTGAAACAATGTTAATATGAACACCTTGTGGTGTGACATATTTGTCTAAGTACGAATAAAAAGTTGACAATTAATGGCATCATCATTTTTTGCCCTTCTTCTCTTACAAATTCTAGTTTTGACTAAGTGGAATACTTTGTTGGGTATCTTTAAGGCAGTCGGTATTAATATACACCATCAAGATGGACTTTTATCTGTTTATCGAAATAGTTGCATTTGCTAGCTACTCTGAAATATGGATACTCGTCATTCGCAATATGTCTAGTACTAAAAGTGACATTATGTTCATTTTATCGCTGTCAAGTTTAGTTAAATTAGTAATATATTTCAAGAAATTGACTATTATTCTGGTGATTGACCGAGAATTGATAATACAAAATGTTAAGGATGAAATATAAAAACACAATGATGGCAAAATGTAAAGTTATTTTGACCTATACATGTATGTACACTTGAATGAGAATAATGTAACTTTATTGTATTTTATTGTAAAATTTAATTTTGTTACTTTTTTGTTACCATGCTTACTTTTAAATGAATTGTCATTTGAATCATACACATGCACTTGAACTATAAACCTTTTATATCTATAATTAACCTTTTGTCTTGTTTTAATCAATAATCAAAACGGTTCAATTGTCATATTCAGTCCATCTTAAATAAACTGAATTTGGCATAACATCATGTCCTTCAGCAATTTTGATTTAAGTTTCATAATTGATCTATTGCTTAAGTTCAAATTGAAAAGAAGGATGCACAAGATCAAAGTTATTTAGGCTCAGACATGTCAGATTTGGTTCCTGATTAAAAAATAAATAAATCCATCTCATCTTTGTTGAGCTTATAGAGACAAAAGTCAAAGTCTTTGTCGCAGAAAATTATTATATTGTTACCTAAAAGTAAATTAAAAAACAAAAAAGCAAAAAACTTTTATGATTAATATAAACCAAGATAATGGTTTTCTAGCATACTTGTTGGAATGAGGTTGGTATCGCTGTTACTAAAACGAATTTTTATTTTGGTAGATAGGCATATTCCGTAGAAATACAGATTTTAAGTTGTTTGTAAACTACGCGATTTGGCTATCATATGAAGACCATCCTCGGTAACTTAGGCTTTGAACAATATATTAAATGTAGCATGTACTAAATGTGTACAGTGGGTTCCGACAATGCATTAAGACAAGCAAAAGAGCAATGTTAAAATCATAATCAAAAAGAGCTGCAACTTAGAATTGTGCTTTTATTGAATTAATTCTTGAAATATGAGAGTTTTTTTTTAAATGTATTTAAAATACTTAGACCAAATGAGAGCAAAATATAGTTTACTATATTCACAATTTAAAAAGTGAATTTAATTTCAGGAGTTTTATCTTTCGAGTTCTGTAAACAAAAAAAATATCATTAATATTGAAATTTGGTCCCAAGGCGTTGACATCTGTCTTCTTGAACTTTAAAGTAAATATTAAACAAAGTACGTCAAAGTACTTCAATGTCGTTAGATGTCGTTAGATGCATTAACATGTCAAAAATATAGAAAATTATATTACTTTACTAAAAACCTGAAGCAATCTAAATAACTGTCTCGTTAATTATACATAAATTAACAAACAATATTATCTGAATTAATTGGAGGCATGCCTTACTTTAGATTGACATTACTGCCGGTGTTGACGCAAACAATATTGCCTTACATTTTACTTTTAAGAGTACATCATTTGAATGATTTAGCTTGGACGATATTAAATCATTAATTTGTAAGTATATTTTATGTAATTTTGGACAATATCTGTTTTCAAATAAAATATCGTATATTTTTTATTTTATTTCTGTAAATCATATACAGAATAATCTTATTATTTTGCAAGTTATTTTTGTCTTTCTCGATATTTTGCAAAATGTGCAGCAAAGTTAACGTTAGAAAAAAAATCGGTAACTGTTGCTTTGCTTATTGATTGTTTACTTTTATATACATTTTCTTTTCAAAGAATCTATAATGCCCTGTTTTTTTATTACAAATGTATAAACTAAAAACCTTTATAAAAATTTTTTTTTTAATCTTCATTTCGTATGTTTTTTTTTATTGGAAAAAATCAATATCACACAAAGTCACAATTTTAGTTAAATTTATAAAATTAATTACAAAAGTACAATATTGTAGGGGATAATTTGTTGAATAATCTATTTTGTGAAAATCCTCTAACATAAATATACCAAATATATTAATATATTGATTTGATTAAGTTCGACATGTCTATTTGATTAAAACCCTCTTAAACATTTTATTTTAAAAAAAAACTGACATAACGTTTTGAGTTTTGATGATATTTGTAGAGTATCTAAACATGAAATGGTTATATCTGATGCCTGTTTTGCTGACACTGATGGTGAAATCAGCAGACGCACAACAATCAGCTCACCAAGTGTGCATGTTGGTGCCGCAGGCAACACAAGACTGCTTAAAACGATTTGAGAGACAGAATCAGCTATCAGCTAGGATAAGTTGTTTACAGGTAAGTTTTGCTCTTTCTTGCTGTTAGATATGTAACTTTATCCCTCAAGCTCCAAAGTATTTTTATTATTAAAATTGTCTATGATAATTAAAGGTACTAAGATATTTCTGAATAAACATTTTTTTTTCTAACATAAAACATTTTTTAGTTTCATGGAATGAAGGATTGCTTTTGAAAAAATACATGTATAATAAGTCTTACTATCATCTTGGATACAGAAAACAATGCATCTCATAGAATGTCCAACATTCAAAATATGACAAAATATGAACTTTCTGTCGCTGAATATGCTATTATTCTATTTCGGTTATAAACCGTACTTATACATACAATGTCAAATGAAGGGTTTCAAACTGATCTTGATGAACGCCAACCATAATAATATTATGAAAATGTTTACATTTAAGTGTCAGATTTAATTTTCATTCTAAAAGGAGAGTACCTAGTTAATGACAAATATAAATGGGTTTTTACGTTTCAAATTATTTGCTAAGAAGCAAGGAAAGAGTATAAGCAACATTGAAATATTACACACACTCGTGCACACGCACGCGCATATACATTTGCAATAAACATTATGTACTTGTCATTAAAATAGTTTTATGTCAATTGATATTAATAGTACAACTGAAAATTAAGTGAAAGTCAAAGGTTTATATTTATTACATAACAGTCCCGTACAAAATTTTGTCCGGAATTTGTAAACTGACACAGATGTCTTGTGTCAAACAAGAAAAAATCTGTTGATAACTCTACATGCAAAAATAGTTATTAAAGAAAAAGGCACTGAACTGTTAGATTGATATAAAGAAAGTCAAGTTAAATCAAAGGTCCTCCCCACTTTCCGAGTACATACATGACAATTCGATTTAAATACAATGCGGGTCAAATAGTCACTTTAATTACAAAAAGAAACGACAACTCTGATTATACGAGCAAAAACTTAACTATAAGACTAATTTATCTAACTCTGTAAACTTTTAAGTATTTTAAGTATACAGAGGTGGCAATGGTTTTAGTAAAAACATTTTTTTTGTACTTTTGAATTATTCCACACTGTATTTTGATGTCCAGTTTGTTCATAAAATGTTACGTGACTAAACTGTTGGCATATTGCCAAAAGTGTAGTCTTAAGTCGTTAAAAAGATTGCCTCATCAAGCTGAAATTAATGCACTTACTATGACTGGGCTTGTGCACTTGAAGTTGACAGCCAACACAGCATCCTAAAATAAAATGACAGCATAAAATTACTTATTTGTCTACTTCAAATGCATCATAAAACACGCAATTTAAGAGAAGTGGCAAAATTAATAGGATAAAAAGATCAAGCCGGTTAATTTTATTTTTGATTTCTATATCACATTTATAATATAGATATTTTATGATATTAATACTTGTATAATGTATAATATAATATTTAATTAATTATAATTATACAATAAATTTGAAGTACACATGTACATGTATATTAAATTCATATACATGTATTTTTTTCATAAAAGTAACAATTTTAAGATATTTGTGTATTTCCTCTTGACATAAATTGTTCACAAATGTTGGTGATAATTTTGGTTCGAATCCCGCCAGTTGACTTTGATTCTATTAAGCGAGGAAACTATCCATATTAAATAAATGTCGGTGGTCCACAATCAGTATATGCTTTTGTACTTGAATAACGAGGGACATCTGAGAACTCTCAAAACCATTTACAGACACACAAACTTAATCTAAATGTTTGACTTTGATTCTATTAAGCGAGGAAACTATCCAACTAAGCATATTAAATAAATGTCGGTGGTCCACAATCAGTATATGCTTTTGTACTTGAATAACGAGGGACATCTGAGAACTCTCAAAACCATTTACAGACACACAAACTTAATCTAAATGTTGAGGCATAGCATAAAACTTAAGAACATTGTTTGTCATTAACATCAAACGTACAATTTATGTCTTACCATTTAAAAAAAAACTTATATAGACTTGTAAATTTTTTATTCTTCATATATCCATTCATTTTTGTAGGGTCAATGTCACAATAAAATATCTACTGTCTAAATTATGAACAGTGCAGACTATGACCAGACGGTGCAGATGTGCTGGCTGATCATAGTTTGCCCTTGTCGCATCGGTATATTCAGGTGCAGCTAAAGGCTTATAAATAAACATTTTTATTCCATTCCTATAACAAAATTATATTCACTTTATTCACTTCAAATGAGCACTTTTTGCAGGATCTGTTATGGAACATAGTTCCAGATATGAAATTAGACCAAAAGGACCGTAACTTCATGGCAAATATATCCAGAATTATTGGTTTAACTGAAGCTTCAGCGCAGCCGTTTACTTCAAGGTCAGGTGGTTCATCGACCCAGCAAGAGTATCGTTCAAAGTCTAATTTATATCCCCCAAGTGGCAAACGAATTAGGAAAGAGTACCGACTGCTAACGTTCCAGGAGAGAGCAAGGTTTCACAGAGCTCTGAAAAGACTGTACATGGTATACAATTTATCAATCTAATCAAGTATAAAAAAAAACCCCAACAACTTTGAACTTTGATGAGTGTTGGACATTTAATTGCAAGAACATTCAAAATAACAAATTTATAGCAAGGAAAACATTCATTTGATCTCATTGTATTATATTTTTTCCAGATTACGTGTTGCGCCTAATATTCGCATTTGCTTGAATATATTGTTCAGATTCTTTTTAATATTTGTCATGATATGTGAAGAAAGAGTCTCATAGACTAAATATTAAATTAATCAATATAATAGTTAAGTTAATATAGATGTATGATTCATTTGTAACAATTACAGGATGGAATCATTGACATTTTTGCAAAGATTCACGCGGAAGCATCAGACATGCACCATGGAGGGGCTTCATTTTTACCATGGCACAGGGTATACATTACAATGTAAGTTTAATTATACCATGACAGACTGTATGCATAACCACGTACGTCATATTATACCATAACAAAGGGTACGTTTTATTAAACAGTTGCATACAGTACACATAACCATGTAAATTTTATATACCATGACAAGGTTAACATTACCATGTAGGTGTTATTATACCATGTCATACAGAAAACATTACCATGTAGGTTATATCATGCCATGGCCCATGGCATAGTGTATACACATAAATCTATCTGTATGTTCAGTAATAGCTTAATATAGGCAAAATCTTACCATTAAACTTATATTGTACCATGGCTTAGACTAAATATTGCTATGTAAATTGCGTTATACCATGGAAGAGATTATGTATATCCGAGTATTTTGTTATGTTATATTGTGTCATAGAGCATATATTATCATCATTAAAACTGACGCCAAGTGTATATAACTATTTATGATACTGCACATTTTCCTAAAATCGTGACGATTGTATTATCTACAGTATATACAAAACTGTTATCAAGTTAATATATCTAAATCCTGCTGTTCATATCGTACAAATCTATATAACCTGACAACAGTTTGTACAGAGTCATATATATAAACAGTATGTACACCATGAATTACTGATGACATATGTCGGTTGCGTTGAAGCGTATTATTAATTACGCTTACATGAGTCTTTGTATTAAAATATAACTTTTACCTTGTATTGCATTGTATTGTCAAAAATACTTTTTGTAAATTATTTATTGATGAAATATTTTGAATGGTTATAAATATTGTAAGTGTTATTTTGGTTGTTTGAAGGTTTGAAGAGATTTTAAGACTGTATGACTCCTCCGTGTCTCTTCCTTATTTGGGCCCAAGCACATTTGGGTTTGACGTTTTGGGAATAATCCTTTTTAATTTTAAAACCCTTTTGGGCCCGCCAGAATATTTTGGAAATGGAGAGGGGGATATTTTTCCCAGTGGCCCGGCAGCAGGGGGGTTTCAACCATGCAGGGGGGGGTTGGAAAGGGACTAGGTAGATTCGGGTACTTTTTTTTAAAGCGAGAAAAAATACAAAAGGTTTTTAAACGCAATGAGATTGGCAGTAATTTTCTGCCCATTGAAAGCATTAAATTTGTATTTTAAATTTCCAAAGGGGTCATTTCTTTTTGCGGACACACGTAAAAAAAAGTTGGGAAAATATTCTGAAAAAAATAAAGGGAAAAATCCCCAAAATTAAAAATTTATTTTTATTTTTTTGTGAATTTTTTATATTTTTTTTTCAATTTTTTTTTTCAAAATGTAAAAAAAGACTTTATAAATTAATAAATCTTTATATTTTTCCCCCGTTTAAAAAAGTTATTTTTCCCCAATTTAAATATCAAGGGTGCAGCCACTATTTTAAGTATATAACAAAAGGGCTTAACCATTAAATTTTTGTCCTTAAAAATGGACCCGTTCACCTTAAACCCGGGGGACAAAAAAAATTTTCACCTTTTTTACAAAAATTTTTTTTAAAAAAAATTAAAATTTTAACTAAAAGGGGCCAAACCCATTTGCACACCATGATCGGGGGGGCAATAATATTCCCCCCTTAATTTGGGATGAAAAGGTTCCCCATTAATAGAATTTTTGTGGGCCCACCAAACCCTTGAAAAACTTTTTTAACTTTGATGATTTGGGGTTTTCCCTTTGGGGATTCTTTTTTTTCTTTTTTAAAAGGTTTTAGCTAAAGAAATTTTTTTTAAAATTTTTTAATGATTTTGAAAAAAAAAATCTAAAGGAAAGTGGGGAAAAATAAAAAAATAAATAAAAAAAATTTGGGACCCCACAAAAAGAAAATTTGGGGTTTTTTTAAAAATGTACAAAAATTTTTCAGCCCCAAAACACTTTTCAGGATAAGGCATCTTTTAGTGTATCGGCCCAAAAAATTTTTATTTTTTCTAAAAGTTCTTTTTTAAAAAAGCAGAAAACAAATTAGAGCAGACGTGATTATTTTTTAAACATTTTAAGAAAAAAACCCAACCCGTGGGGAAGATATATTTTAAACTTTAAATTTTTTTAAAAGTTTAAAGGGGAAAGATTTTTATCGTTTTTAAAAATTTTTTTAAATTTAGCCCTTTAAGGGTTTCCAAAAAACCCCTTTTAGTAAACTTTTTAAAGGGGAATTTTAAAAATGCTTTTTAAAAACCCCCTCCTGTATGAAAAAAAAAATTTTCCCATTTTAATTTTCGTATTGATTTTAAAAATTTGTTGATATTTTTTTTTTATTTTTTAAAAAAGGTAACTGTCTGGCCCCACTTAAATGAAAAAGTTTTTAATATTTTTTTAAAATTAAAAACTTTAAACGGGTAAATAAGATAGGGGAAAAGAAAAATTGGAAAAAAATTTTTTTTTACTTTCAAACATATCAAAAGCCCTTTATGCTTAAAAGGGATTTTATTTTAAAAAAGGGTTTTCCCAAATGGGGGCCCGCATTTTGGGGTTTGGGTGGGGGATATAAAGCCCCTTTGCAAAAAACGGGGGATAGGGCCCCCGTATTTTACATCTTTATTTTTTAACGTTGACAAACTTTTGGGGAAAAATTTTTCTTTCGCGGGAAAAAAAGGGTTTTAATTGCGGTTTTTTTGTTTTAAAAAACTTTGTTTACCCAAAGAATTTCCTTTCGGTGACAGTAATAAACCCAGTTTGCTAAAATAAACAGGCTTTGAGGGGTTTTTACAAAATAAGGAAAGGAATCGAGTCATTTTTGGACAGATAATTTGGTTTTTACTTTTTTGAGGCCAAACCCAAAAATTGTCCAAATTTTGTTGTCCGGGGTTGTTTCGACCCCCCTTTCCTCAAAAAATTTGCAAATCAAAAAATAAAAACCCTTTTTTGCGAAATCAGGGTTTCAAAATTATTTGAGCCCCGGGAAACAAACAAATTTTATTTACCCAGGGGCGATGGGTATGAACCCCACGTGGGGAAAGTTTTGACTTTTCTGGGGGGGGTTTTTGGTTTCCTAGAAAAAAGGGCGGTTTTTTGGGGACGCCCCCCCCAACAGGGTTTAAAAACCGTTAATAAAAAGTTTTAAACAGGATGAATGAAGGGCTGCCCCAAAGTGTTCAACACCCAAAAATTTTTTCAAACTGGCTGTGGGTTTAATTTTTTGTAACTTTAAATAAATTAGACGTGTAAATAACAAATTGCGTTGCATATTTTTTATTAGTGTGAGCAGAATCTAGAAAATGACAATGAAAATATACATACAAATGTACCAATCTTACAGACAGGACGGTAATCTTCAAAAATAAGTACATGTGTACTTCCCCTTTGGAAAAGTAAAAATGTGTTTTTTATTACTCGTATTTTAATAATAAATTTTGGGGCATTTTTACAATTTCAGATGAAAAAAAAAAGTTTCTGGGATGTGGGGGTAATTTAGCATAAAATAGGAAAAATGTACTTATTAAAAAAATGGGGATTTCGGACTCCCATTAAAAACTCATTTTTAAAACACCATAACGTCATTAAAATTCCAAAAACAGAAAAAAAGAAAGGTTTTGCTAAAGTTAGGGGGGTCATGTTTTGGGGAAAAATTTTTAAAAGAAACACTAAAAAAAATTTTTCAAGGAAAAAAAGGGAAAAACCCCTTTTTTTGGGGGTTAAAAGGGCCTTTTAAACTACTATGTGGGGACAAATATTTCTACTATAAGGAGATAACAATCTACACTTTAAAAACGTTTTCTGTTTGTTTTAAAAAGGGCCCCCTATCCCATTTTATATATAAAACAAAAACATATATAATGTTATAATGGTAATATAGTAGTCGCCTTGTAGTTTAATTTTGTTCATATCCAACTGAATCCCAAAAGTTACAGAAAGTACTTCTGTAATCATGAAAAATCATATTTTTTGGAGTTAAAAAGTGCATGGTAGCTGAAGTGTTCGATGCATAGTTTGGCCACGTCAATACCGGCGAAAATCTACCAATATTCGGCTCAAGTGAATAAGCAAAGTTGGTCCAATATAACAACATGCTGTTAGCTAGCTGTGTCTCCTCCAATGTTGGTTTTCCAATGCGTTGGTTTTGAAAAATGTAACCAAGTTCTTCAGCATGACATACATGGCCTTCACAGAACGAGTCCTTACCCCATCCACCATGTGTAGCTGTTGCATGATCAAAAACATACTGATACACTGCACGATCATTGTTTGCTAAAATATTTCTTGTAGCATTTCTATTAGCACACGTGAATATGAAATCGGTGCAAACAACACATAAGTCGTCTCTGTAATCTTCTAAATCAGGTTTAGGTTTATAAAACATTTCAATGTCTTCAAAGTGAGGTGGATGGATTATTGCCAGAGCAGCTTCGTACTCAGCACGGGTAAGGTTGCGTGTCCAAGCACCATACACAAACAGTCTTGCCTCTTCAGTGGTAGTACCAATAATCATCGGGATCTTTCTAAATTTCCCTTCTGTCGCTGCTTTCAGTGGCTGAGTTATAAGATCAGTTCCATCAATGATAGGACCGATGGGTTTCATAATATTCATTGAATTTTCCAGCGGTCACTTTTACTGATTATTTCTTCTTGTGCGTCATTTATTTCTTCAACTGATTTTGCTCGCATACATAACATAATGTCTATTTCAGGGCACCTTAGAATTTTTCTTAATCTGCTTGTGAGGAAAAGCGCTTCGTCTTTTCTCTGTATGGAACAGCAAATGGAGTCGCTTTCAATAATAGCTGCCCGGAACAAACTGCTGTCAGTTTTAGGTGACATCAAATGTATTAAATGTTGATTGAGCACCGGCACTTTGTCCAAATAAGGTCACCTAAAAGAATATAAACCTTTTAAATATATTTTTCTTATTGGAAGACAAATAGTTTTTGCTCTGAAATATTTTTATATTAGATATTAAACGTGAAGAAAATTAAATATTTACGAGCAGTAAAAGCAGGAATACTTCTGTTAGTGGGATCACTGCTAACTGCACATACATTGCAAATGAATTATTTTGCCACATATTTTATTGAATAAACGAAACAACAAGCTTTTGTATTTTGTCTTAATTTATTATTTTGACCGCGGTGTGATATGCATCATATTCAATAGTTGTTTGTAAACTTGAGTAATATGAATTACCTTAGATGGATTTCCTCCAAAATTAACAATATTTTGTTGTACCCATTGTAATGCTAGTCGTTGGTCGCGAATTCCATAATTACCTTTGGCGTCTGAGGACGAGTCTCCAGTGTATAAAAACCCTAAAATACCTGTAAAGAAACCATCAATTAATTTTAATACATACAGATTATTCAAAATATTTGTCAACTTTGTGTCATGACGACGTTATCCAGAACGGGAAATGAAGGGTAAACATATATGAACTGAAGACCGCAAATCCTTAAAAATAGTCCAGTGAATCATACTATAAATAAATCTTTATAAATCATTTTACATTGAAAACACTCTCTAATTTGAGTTTTGTAACCATATTTAAGGCGGGATAATAAAAATTGAATTGGAACAGTTTTTATAAATTTGTTTCTAAATTCATAAAATTAAATGTTGAATTCTGCTTTAGCCGGTGTTTGGGGGGGGGGGGGGTGACGGTAGTTTGCACTTGACAGTACCGTCCATTAGCGGACTCAATCAAACCGAGCCTGCAACGTTTACAATTTTGCCGTTTTGGACTTTCTTTAGGGATTCTTATTTTCTCTATTTGTATGCGTAAGTTGGAATTTGAGGACGATTAAAGAACTCACCAACTCTATAGTCCATGTTGACAACAATCACTTTTCCACCAGCAGCTAGGTTGTTACCATCATAAGTAAATGTTGATCCTGATCCCCATTTGAAGGCACCTCCGTGGATAAAAACCATCACCGGATATCCGGAACTGTTTGTAGCGTCAGCCGGTGTCCATACATTGAGGTATAGGCAATCCTCAGACATCTAAAACAAAAATGTGACTCGTTATATTCAAAACTGGAATAAATGATTGAATTTATCTTTTATGAGACGAACAGATATTTCTAAAATCTTGCAAGTGTTTTTCCAAACTAATACGTTAAATGCCCTACAGATAAAGTTAGTGGGAAGGGAATGACTATTCTTTAGCATTCTACTTATTTCTTTTGTGAATATCACATAGGTAAACACAATCTCTCTCTTTTGATTTCTCTCTATTTTCTTTTTATTTCTTCGGTATGGTAGTTCTCTAAGAATCGAACAACTGATTTTATAAAAAAACAAACAACAAAAACAACAACAACAACCCACCCAAAAAGCCCCCAAAAACGGATTGGTGTAAATTCACTAGTATGATTACTTCATGATGAGATATGACAGATTTAGTAAATTTGACTCATATTTGCTAAAAACGTTTGGATTTTAGAAGTATTATGTTTTAAGATAAGTTAATGATTGAGCAAGTATGTCGAAATCACTTAGGTATGTGCAAATGCTGTAGAAATTTAGAAGTTTGAAAACTGTTTATACAAGGGGTTTGATGTGAGATGTGAAAATATTTGTATGTGATACCTTAGAGGCAATGTGAAAAATACTTGTATGTGATACTTTAGAGGCAATATCAAACAGACTTGTAGGCAGTGTATGATGGTAAAATTGTTATGCATTAATTGTTCAAAATATTACATTTGAAAAAGCAAGCCATGTGTTCATAGAAATATTTGACTATCAACAAGTTCAATAGCTTTGCTTCTCTCCCTTTCTGCAGTAAATATATTCTCTCGTCGCTAAACAGAACAAGTTGTTAATAATATTCGTTCATAGGAGGCGAAATCCAAGAGATGCTACGCGTCAGGCAATGCTGAAACCCTCGGAATATATGTATGTGTTTAAAATCAATCAATGAAAAGAATGATTATATAAATGATGATGCAGACAAATTGTGACGTGAAACAACATCGTGAATAGATTGCTATATGATTATTGGATGATAATGATATAATCAATGACTTTGTCTGAGCTGTCGAGACACGGAACGTCCTCGTACAATAGTACATGATTTTGTAAACGCTCAGAAAATTGTTGTTGCATTTAATTATACGAGTATGTTGTCTATTTATTGTCTCCTCTGTTGAGATCTGTTTACAATGAATAAAAAATGCAATAAAATGTTACAGTTACAGCTACCAGTTCGACATTTTACTCATTTTATGGATGGAATAAAATTATAAAGCTATATTTGAGTTTTTCATATTGCATCTTGGAAATTTGATGAAAAAATATTTTGTTTAAACGACATGCACATTGGCCACTCCATCTATATGGTAACTGAATAGTAACTGCAAATGCAGTACCAAAGTTATTATTCCATACATTTTGATGCTTTATTCCTACTTTTTTGTCACTTGTAATTGTTTATAAGAAATTATTTTTAATAACTTTTAGACAAAGTTAAATTATGCCATTTTACACAATGGGTCTATTTTTTTTTGAAATATTTTGAAATACAGCATGATAAATATTTCAAACATTAGTTAAATTTAATTTGACTTAAATATACCGATCCTAAGAAACAACTTAATATGAATAAGACATATACATACCTGCATTGGGCAGCTTGTATTTGGCAAGAATTGAAAGCAATATTTCTGAGGACAGCCAGGTTTGCGTGATGTAGCGTTGTATGTTGCTGGTCTCCATGACGCTGGGATAGCGGGATCATTCCATCTGTGATAACAACAACAACAACACTATTTTATGATATTATATATATCAAGACGTAAGGAAGTACAAAATATTTATAGAAATCCCACCTTTATTGTATTCTTTTACATGGCTTCATGCTTTGACTACTTACATATAAATTTGTTTCCTGTTTCCGAACAGAAAAGGTTAAATTACTTAAGACTTATCAATAGTTCTTTTTTGACTGGCGTCACTGATAGAAAGTACACGGTAAATTATGAAAAAAATGACAATCAATGTACATTTTATATTTTGTGGCTCTGTTATCACTGTTACCCTATTTTTATGCTCGGATTTCATGAGCAGGCAAGTCACATATTTTTTTTTCATTCATACAGGTTTTTGTTGTCCATTTAACTCTAAGACTGAGTCTTAAAGCATAATGGTATTCTTGCTCTTATTTTTACATTCTTCGTGTCTGACTTTATCTTAAATTAATACAGAAATACATTTATGTCATTTGGAATTGATAGATCCCTACTCTGATCTTTTGTTTGAATAACAATAGATTTAACCACAAACATAGACATGTGTTTTTGTAAACACATAGATTGTCATCCAATAATTATTATAATGCACAAATCTGATAATTTGATTTAGATAGGTTAGGGTGATTTAGGGATCTATCCGTAGAGACAGATAAAAGAGATAAAGATTTTAGTACAAAGAGTGAAAACTTTCTAAATATACAAACCTCAAGGGTCCAACTGGCGGTGACGCGTACGGAATTCCGAGAAACTGCAAACTGTTTTCATTTCTGATTCCTCGGACATCTCCGTTCACTGTTGGAACAACCGGTTCTGTTACAGCATATGCATCATAAAACACGGTGAGGAAAATAATGAGAAATGTAACATCCATTATTATGAATATCAATATGTATAATGCAATACATCAACAAAGGCTAGACGTGCTAATACAACCTTCTTCTTAACCTTGATAAATAAGTTTTATCGTAACTATATCTATGTTTATACTAGTGTTTCTATCTAGGATTAGTACACTTATTACTAACCTTAGTTCAGATAATAAGTATAAATATCTTAAAGCTGCATGCCTCCAGATGAATCAAAATATTTCAAGAAAATTAACCGTGATAATATTTATTAAGATTTAAAAAAAGTAAAAAGATTCAAGATTCAAGAAATCTCTTACATGTACATTGCATATGAACAATAAAAACAACATTATACTTTACATAAATCATTCCTCTATTGACAGTAAAACAAATTATGACATAAAAGCAAATGCCACTTTACAAGCAACAGAAAATTAATACAATAACAGTAATGAACTAACCCATTTTTTTGTAGTGCGCCGGTATTACGTTACTAAGGTAACTTAATGACAATTCTTTTTTCACGATACGCCGGTTACATGGCTTTTTCTTATGTCTTCTTATTTGAGACATATTTCACCTTCAAGTGATATATAATTCATGTTTTTTATCAATTACTCTCAGAACAATAACTGCAGTGCACGAATGTTTTGGACAACCCTCGTATGGCCATATTTCTACTGTATGACTATCGCAGTAAGGTTTTTGTGTGTATATTTTGACCCTTTCTTTGGTAATGTACGTGCATTGTATGTGCCGTTTCGCAATTTGTAAATTACTTTCTTTGTTCACTTTACAATATTTTACTTATAAACACATTTTCAAAATATTCATGAAAATTTGCACGAATAAGGCATGCTGCTTTAATTTTTAATTTTATGTTTCACTACCGAAAACAAAAGATTATACACCAAATTAATTTTTATCCGCAAATATATAACATAAAATAAATACAAACATAACCAATAGATGATGTATTTGTGATA